AAGCCCTGCCCTTTCATTCTAAGGCCGACAGATTGTGCTCTCTAGATGCTTCGTTATTTCTTTGCGAGTAAAAAGTTGAACATTTTACCTGAGAAAGTATTGGAAAAATTTCTACTGCATTATAAGTAAGCATATAGTTTTAAGTCGTTATATTCCTTGTGAGGAAAATGCAGCATAAGAAATGATACAGACAGATAAAAAGAATACTCAGCAGTACCTTACTATGATGTTGGATTTAAATTTTTATTTAAAATAATGGTTGTCTGTCAAGTCGGTTTAAGGACGATTTTTACCTAATAACGTATCGTTCGCTGTTTTTTTTTTGGGGAAGTTTTGTGGGGCTTTTTTCCGGTTCGTTTGAGCATAACCACGAATCTGTAGTAGTAGTAGCTCTATGGGGGCTCGAGTTAGACTGTGAGGGATTTAGGTACTCTTCGAGGGAAAGAGGGGTGTCAGGGGTGTCAGAGAGTTAGGGGGAGGACGCGCGGGGTGAAGGGGGGTGTTTGCAGCCGGTGTTCATCGATTTTTAACATTATCACGTCAAAATACTGCAAAAATACACTAACTCTTATGGAGCGTATGAAGATACCTATCAGGGTCCTGATAGCACAGCACGCACACACTTTTATTTCTTTGATTAATAAGCACCTAGGTGTCCACATAATTATTTATCGGTAATAAGTGCCATTTCACGTTTTGCTAATAAATTACTTAATATAATAATTCAATTTCCTAGAAATACAGCTTCGTAATTCTATTGTGACACTTTAGAGTGTTGAATAACAGAAATTCGTATTACGGCAACGTTAACAACTCTTCGGTACCCAAGTGATTAAGGCATCCCGTCCGTCTAGTGATTGATTTTGTTCAACGTAAATCTTTGTTTGAATATTGAGCATTTACTTACTACAACGCAAACATTGACGATAAAAAGAAATTGTTTAATCAACAAAACCACTTTCAAGCCTTCGAATTCTGGCATAAGAGACGAAAAAACTCAGAGAAATAAATCAAAAACGAAAATAAAAGAGAACTTTCAAACCAATCTCTTTAAAATTTGATAAGAATTACAAAACGAAAGTTTATATTTATACGAATAATTTTGGTTTTAAATTTACTTTTATCTACAACAACAGACATTTATTAAATATATATAAATACAATCTGATAAAATATATAATACAATCTGATAAACTTATTCGGAACTTAACTACAAGATCGTTTGCGAAAACCTTTCTCACCGCTAGTGAACAAAATGAGATATTACTCAAAATTCTTAGCCCACAAGCTCCCAAAACATCAGGACGGCAAGGGTAAAAGATATATTTGCAGACTTCATTTGAGTAGAGATTTACGAGTACGGTTTACCGCGAACGTTTGTCTAACGATTTGGCCAAAAAGTTTCCTAATAATGAACATGCTTGTACAAACTTCAGCATTATGTTCAGAGATGGAACACAACATCTGTATTTATGTGTGGTAAATTGTTCAATTTATCACTATCTTAGAAGATTGTTATTAATCGAATGATATGAAGAATAGAATATTTTCTCTGATAAATGATACTTACTCATTTATCAGAGAAAAAATATTTTTAGGTTTTACTAAACACAAACATGGTAGACACAGAAACTGTAACATGATATTTTGAAATAGTAAACTGAACAGCGTGTCTTTAAAATATGGAAAAACCAATAAAGAAAGAAAGAACCTTTATTTTATCAGTTAACAACTATGTATACCTACATTAAAAAATGTATGTATAGGTATATGGGAAAAACAACAATTTCAGCAGAGGTTAGGATTCAATCTGGAATATGTGACGACTCGGACTTAAAATATTCAGACAGATCCTATCCTAAAATCTACATATATATTATATTTTTTTTTAATATCTGACATACTGAAGAGCTTTAGTAATTTGACGGAATCCAAATTATTGTCATCAAAAAATTAAAACAAAAAAGTGTCAATTCAGACACTGTACCCGAATATATTTTGTCCGAGTTATTAACAACTTGGAATCCGAGCATCTGCGCATTAGCCTTCGGCATCATCGTAAAAAAAGGACACACAGATTAAAAAATATTAAATACCAAGAAAACTTTAAAAAAGAGATCATCCAGTCATCTACAGGGCAATCGCTTGCAGCAAGTTCGCCCAATTTATTTATTTTTTCTTCTGGATTCGGCATGCATCGTATTAAGCCCAACAAATGTTACAATTTCAAATTAAAATTCTTCAAAAGGAACGGTATACACGACAATAATCATAATGATTTACAAAATCTCCCTTAAAACATTAAGTAGAAAACAAAACCGTTCGTGATTTTATAATAGGCGAATGCAGCAGTCGGGTGGTTGATTCAAAAAGCGCGTGCCTACATCAGATAGGGGGAATGAATCGAGGGGGCGGCACCAGGGCACATGCCGCCTTCCATTAACTTGCCACAATTGCTCTACAACATAATTTTTGTTTCCATTAAATAAATGAACTGTCGGAAATGAAAAAATAAATCAAATTATATCTCGGGGCCTTGGACAAAGAAATCGTTAGTATCTGATTAGCGCGGCGTGTTATGAAGTGGCCTATTATTTGATGATATTATCGACGTTGCTTTTCGGATTTTTTTTTTCTTTCTTTTGTGTTTATGCTTTCGGTCGATTTGCTAAATCGTGTCATTGTGATAAATGTAGTTGATTCATCATGTTTTGGAAATTGAATCCGAATAAGCCTGAATGTCGTTGAACTATTTTGAGGACAACAAACGCTTTGTTATGCAAAACGAGTTTACTTCTTAGAAAGAAAGAAAGAAAAATGTTTTTATTGTTGACAGCACATAACATACACATAAAAAAACATATAACATAAAGTAAAACGAAACACACAGTAAACTTAACAACAACAAAAACAGCTACTTACAGAGAATAAATGTGTATTTTATGTGATGCCAACATCGGATATGGCTCAGCGTACACCGCAGGTAGAATTCCTGCTGCACTGGTATTCTGTTATACTCAAAGCAACATCACAAAAAACATTATTAAAACAAAATACAAATTAATTACTTCCTAATTACAAAAACAGAAAATAAATCGCAGTATGGGTCAGAACGGTCAGAACACATCACAATATCTGTGGCAGAAAATTGTTTATGGTTACAGAAGTAATCTGTGGTTGGTTATAACAGCTTGTTCTTTTATTGGTCTGTGGTTATAACAAAGAAAGATGGACTTTGACCTTTAACCTAACCTTTGACCTTTAATAAAGTGACACGTATACAATATTAAAAAAATAAATTATCCGTAAGACATCATGGTAGATAAATTAGAAAAAGTTTCGGCTGTTACAAAAAAGTAATATCATAATTCATGCGGATCACTTTTGTGAGGCTAGTGCCGTATCTACCCTTTTTATTTTAATCTAAGGCTGCACCTGTGACTGTAACAAAAATAACTTGAAATCGTTTTTAAATGTGCCATGTGTCTTTAATGAACGTATTGGAGGTGGCAAGTTATTCCAAAACTTAGAAGCTGAGTACTTGAATGAGCCACGAAAAGCAGCAGTTCTGTGAGCGGGAGTCAGCATCATGTAAGCGGCTGCTCTTGAACGAAACATTTTATCTCTAGCCCAGTTAATCTTAGAGCAAATATACTCCGGCACCCGAGTGTGTTCCACACTAAACAAAAGAGTGGCAAAATGCAGTTGTCTACGAGAGTCCATCCTCATCAAATTGGAATTATTCAAGTATGGTGTAATATGGGCCCCAGATGGAATAGAAAAACAAAAAAAAATGTACACGTTGAATGACACGTTCAGTTCTAGCTAGCAGACATGGGCCAAAAACTACATCAGCATATTTGTTTCTTAGGTTTTCACGCACATCACTCATTAAAAAAAACTAGTTTTTTACGGGTTAGTGCACGAAACTTTATTTATTTATTGATTTTTCGTAGTCTTTACAGGCTTCGTCGTCGGAATCAAATTTTTATTTAATTTTGTCGAGCTACTTTCGAAAGACTTTTATTGAGCGTTCGGTTATTTTATTGTTCGATTTTTAAAGTTTAATTGTTTATGTATAAATTTATTACTTAATTTTGTTAATAAAGTATTTTATTTAAAATTCTTTTTTGTAATTTTGAGTTTATTTATTTGCCCTAACTACCGTAAACTACCACCGGTTCCAAAATTGGGAGACCTATCTGAGAAGAACCGGCGATACAAACTCAAGAGAGGCTTTCGATCTCCTTCTTATGTTATCTAATGCATGTTCATGTTCATGCATGAACATGCATTAGGGGGACCAAACCATTACATTAGATTTGATAAACCACAGATCCTTGCAACTGAGCAACGATTCATTCCTAGAATGATACGCTAGGCTATTGAGATTAAAAAATATCCAAATTTCAATAGGGAAGATGGTTGGTATATACCACCAGCTTGGGAACCCATTATACAGGAGATAAAATCCCGACCCCGAGCACACACTGCAAGACCAACAGATACTATTAGTTCTTTTTGTTTGCATAATTTAACATAAGAAGGAGATAGAAAGCCTCTCTTGAGTTTCTTTCGCCGGTTCTTCTCAGAAAGGTCTCCCAATTTTGGAACCGGTGGTAGTTAACGGTAGTTAGGGTCAAATAAATAAACTCAAAATTATAAAAAAGAATTTTAAATAAAATACTTTATTAACTAAATTAATTCATACATAGACAATTATACTTTAAAAATCGAACAATGAAATAACCGAACGCTCAATAAAAGTCTTTCGAAGGTAGCTCGACAAAATTAAATAAAAATTTGATTCCGACGACGAATCCTGTAAAGGCTACGAAACGTCAATATTTTTTTTTCTATTTTTTTCCACGTTCTGTTCTACAACTTTTGACTGGAGTTGTGATTAACTTCTTCCTTCTAATTATCAGGGGGGAAATCCATTGACTCCTCCACCACGTGTCTATTTGCAAGGCTGTTTTATCCATCGATGAGGCTAAGGGTCGTCGTGCGTAACTGGTTGAGAGTGCGCGTGTTACAAGTTCAATTGTTGATTTACAGTTAACTGCAAACAATTTTCGTTCTACGCCTGTTTGTAATAAGCATAAGAATCGGATAATATATATTATTTAGTGAAAGTGTTGCTACCCTCTTCAAGCATCGCTGCTCGAGGACAAACAGTGGAGGGACATACTTTACGCTCAGAGGTTACGAGACAATTTTTTTTTCTTTTTTCCTCACCTGCACCAATTGGGCGCATCTATAACAATATGTCTGTGCAACGTACACCACCGAAGTTTGCCTCCAACCCAGACTTACCGGCAACTGCATTGTTGGTAGAGGATACAGTTATTAATATGCGCAAACGTAAACAGCCTGATGATGAAGATATGGATCATCGCATGATGCTATTGGAACAAAAATTAGACCGTCAAATGGCCATATTTAGTAGTAAGATGGATGAAATGATTTCTGAATCGATCGCTAATGCTCTTAAATCTGCAATAACCTCAGAATTCTCTAAAATATCCTCCACACTGGATGCCATAAGCGAGTCTGTTATGGAACTACGTAATGATAATGCCTCATTAAAGAAGTCACTTAAAGATATGGATGTCCGTTTTACAGAAATTGAACAATCATTAAATTTTTGTAACACACGGCAAGATGAGTTTGAGAAAGATTTAATTACGCTAAAAAAACAAATTCAACTCACATCTGACCTTCCGGATTATGTTCAAACCCTCGAGTATAAATTGGCCGTAATGCAACAGCAAGCAAGGGAGTGTAACATCGAGATTAGTAATGTGCCGGAGAAACGCAACGAGAACCTAGTCAATATGGTAATCAGTCTAGGAACAGCTGTGAAACAACAAATATTAGTATCGGATATTGTGGCTGTTCATCGTGTGCCCCACGCAAGTCAGACAGATAAAAGACCTAAAAATATTGTCGTGAAACTTACATCAAGGATTGCTCGAGACAACATTGTTGCTGCATGTCGTTCAAAAAAAAACCTTGATACGGAAGGACTGGGACTACCCGGCACTGTGCAAAAGATATACGTGAACGAGCATTTAACTATCCAGAACAAAATATTATTTCGTGAATGTCGTGAACGAGCCAAATCCAGTGATTATAAATATGTTTGGGTTAAATAAGGGGTTGTGTTTGCAAGAAAGTCGGACACTTCCCCTGTGCTGGCCATACGCACACGGAACGACCTTGAAAAAATCAATAAACCAAAATTATGCCAGGTATCGGTATCATAAGGTTTCGACTGTGTATAAGAGGTATTTTGTTGCGTCATTCTTATCTCATAAATCTCATAATAAAGCTTGTAAAATAAATAAAAAAAGTGTCCCCACGCGCTATTATTATATATACATAATTCCAACCAACTTTCTAGCTAAGAAAAACATTAGAAAACAAACTAATATAATTACAATTGCTGTGTATTTAAAGCATAAAAACATTGTATCTTTAAACTGCCCGCAACTATTTTCTCAAAATAGTGTTAACCATATTTTTCTTGTAAGTTGTTGTAAATATGTTAATTTTAATTTTAATTGTATTAGGTCACTTTTGTCTATGCACTGTCTCGATCGTTTGCTAGAACACAAAAACAGGGTAATTCTGTATTTCTTAAAATATGCACATTTTGTCTTAGTTTTAATTATAAATTATGACTGCAAAACACTTGTCATCTCAATTTTATACTGTGATAAAACACTAACAATTATAAACGTCTATCCATATGTATGTATTCTGTGTACTTCAATACCAAATATCAATAATTGGTATTTACCGATTAATACTTACTTACACCATAACAATTTTTTGAATATACATTCGCTAATAAATGCATTGTTATGTGTGTCATTAAAACTAATCCCTATTTTGTTGTCTCATTGTAATTACCTTAATAACTCGCATAATAACTTATTTACCCACTATCAATATATCTATTACTTGAAATTATTATCACTTAGAGGTATATGTGTATCTAAATAATGGCAGGCTATAATGATATTTTAATTTACTATCAAAATTGTCGTGGCTTGAGAACAAAACTTCATACATTGTACATGAACATACTACAACACTCCTATGATATTTTGGTATTAACGGAGACTTGGCTTCACGCTGACATACTTAATAACGAGTTCATTGATTCGCGGTATGTTGTTTATCGCTGTGATAGGAATCGTGTAAGCACCGGCCGGCGGGACGGCGGTGGCGTACTGATTGCAGTGCTTCGCTCACTCAGTGCCGTTGTATCCCCGCTGTCCGCTGCGTGTGCGGCCCGCGCGTCCCACCACATGCCCGCACTCCCCGATCCTATCGTAGATTATTTGCTCTTTGAAATCCGTATAGGTAAAGAGTGTTACATTCTTAGCGCAGTGTACATTCCACCACAACAGAGCTTAAGTATATATGTATCATTCTTGGACTACTTACAACATTTTATTTTAGCTCTGAAACACCCATACATATGTTTGATTGGCGACTTTAACTTACCATCACTAGACTGGATTCCTTCTAATAATGGTAGCAATAATGTAATGGAAATCCGTAACGATTTAAGAGCCTGCGTCAATGGTAAGTATTTGGAAAATTTTATGTCATCATTAAACTGTGTCCAATTCAACTGTATAAGAAATAATAACGGTAAGATATTGGACTTATTTATTAGTAATCAATCGAAGATTATTATATCACCTGCGCCCGCCCCATTGGTCCCGGTTGACGAACATCATTTACCTTTCTGCGCTAAAATGTTTACACGTGAATTAATAAAACAAATGCCTAGAAAAACACAATCTCGTATATGTTTTCAAAGTGCAGATTATGATGAAATTAATAAGGAAATCTCTAGTATCGACTGGGTCAGTGTTTTTAATAACCAAACGGTTGAAAATTCTGTACAATTTTTCTACGAAACAATATATAGTATTATACGTAGATGCATACCTACTCGATTAACAAAACCAATTAAATATCCAATCTGGTTCAGTACGTCACTAATACATATATTCAAAAACAAAAACAAGGCTTGGATTAGTTGGAAAAAATATAATAATATATCGGACTATAAAGTATATTCCATGTACCGCAAACGCTATAAAAAAGAGTCATTGAACTGTTATAATAATTATTTACAAAATGTAGAAAGTAGTTTAAAAAATAACTTAAAGTATTTCTGGAAATATGTCTCTAGTCGCAGGGATGCAGCCGACATTCCTGCAAATGTATATTATGGTAGTGAAGTTGCAAATGACCCGAAGCATGCGTGTGATTTGTTCTCAAACTATTTTCAAACTGTCTTTGGATCTTCCACGGTAACAGATAGTTTTGACATTAATGACTGTGACTCACAAATGAATAGCAGTTCAGAATTTATTATCAGTGATATCTCCATTACAACTATGAGTGTAATAAATGCATTGAAAAATTTAGATATATCCAAAGGATCAGGTCTTGATAACATACCACCGATCTTTTTTAAATCGACTGTAGAATCCATACATAAGCCTATATGCTACCTATTTAATGAGTGCCTACAAAAGGGCTATTTTCCTAGTGTTTGGAAAACTGCAAGAATAGTACCGGTACATAAAATGGGGAATAAACATAATATAGAAAACTATCGTCCAATTTCTATTTTGCCAGTTCTGTCGAAGCTTTTCGAGAGACTGGTGCATGATGCACTTTATCCATGCCTACATAGATGCATACTAAAGGAACAACATGGTTTTGTACAACAGCGATCAACAATTACTAATTTATTAATTTATACAACAACATTATTTGAAAACTTAGATTCTAACACACAAACTGACTGCGTGTACACAGACTTTCGAAAAGCGTTCGACAGGGTTGACCATCAAATACTCCTGGAGAAAATAGCATACAATGGCATAAGGGGTAACTTATGGCGTTGGTTTAAATCTTATATTTCCAATCGCACACAAAAAGTGGTTATCAACGGTTTCGAGTCGGATGTTATATCAGTTGGCTCTGGGGTGCCGCAAGGATCTATTTTAGGTCCCCTTCTCTTTATATTATTTTTAAACGATATCGATTCATGTTTTAAATTTTGCAAATTCTTACTCTACGCTGACGACCTAAAGATATATCATGCAATACATAACCACGACGATCACTTAAAATTGCAGCAGGACTTGGACAGGTTTACTAGATATTGCGATTATAACAAACTTAGTCTAAGTTTAAATAAATGCAAATCTATTTCCTTTACTAAAAAAAAAATCTTAAGCAATTTTACATATAGATTATGTGGGTGCGACTTGGAAAAGGTAACCATAATTAAAGATCTCGGTGTGATACTGGACTCTAAATTAAATCTTGACATACATATTGAGACTATTGTCAACAAGGCATTTAAAATGTATGGTTTTGTTATGCGATCATGTAAGCAATTTAAAAATATATCTTCCTATCTATATTTATTTAAAACATTAGTTAGATCTCAATTAGAACATGCAGTGAGTATTTGGAACCCTTATTATAATAAATATGTAGCAAATATCGAGATGGTGCAGAAAAAATTCATGAAAAGCATGCAGTACAGATGCGGTCAACCTCGTTTGTCATATCAACAGCTTCTGAAACAATATAAACTAACAGACCTAAAATCGAGGCGACAACAACTAGAAGCCATAGTTTTATATGATATATGTCACGGCGGGTTTGACTGCACTGAACTAGTTAATAAAATTGGCTATATAATACCTAGGCGAACGCAGATGAGATCCTTGCGAAAACATCAACTATTTGCAACATCTTTATGTCGTACCAATGCAGGCAAGCGATCTCCTCTGCAGCGTGTTATGAATTTATATAATAGCACTTTATATGATATAGACATCTTTGCTATAAAAAAATATCAATATAGAAGGCTTATAAGCGAAAAATTGTATTGTTAAATATATATGTATTTTTTTTTTATGTAAGAATTTTTCTCACGTAGTGACTCTCAACAAATATTGAAAGTAACTTGTGGTTAACGGTGTTGGTTTTGCATTTATAAAAACTTGGTGTTATTATATTTTAAATAAGATTTATTGTAAAACTGTTTGTTGACCTTAATAAACTAAAAAAAAAAAAAAAAAAAAAAAAAAAAAAAAAGGGGCGCCCTCCGCCGAAGCCTCTTGAAACAGTCGTCAATGCTAATAAGGCATGATGCCATATCATTAGGGTGTGATTTGAGACGTGAACTATAACGTTTGACCACTTCTTCTATTTCTTCTTTAACATTTCGTACTCCTAAGTCTTTGTGTAATTGATTATTTGTTATGTACCACGGAGCATCAGCAATCATACGCAACGTTTTAGATTGAAACCGTTGTATTATTTGTATGTTTGAAGCAGAGGCAGTACCCCACAGCTGCAGTCCGTATGTCCACATTGGCTTAAGTACGCACTTGTATATTAGTAATTTGTTCTCCAAAGAAAGTTCAGATTTGCGGTTCATTAGCCAAAATAAATTTCTTTCCTGGAGTCCCAGAGCTTTCCTTTTCGTGAAGATGTGGTGTTTCCATGTCAGGCGTCTGTCCAAATGTAATCCGAGGTATCTGGCGTTTTCTGCTTGAGGCAAAGGTATGTCGTTAAGAAAAACTGTGGGGCACGTATCATGTCTCAGTGTAAATAAATAAATAAAGCTTCGTGCATTAACCCGTAAAAAACTAGTTTTATTTACATCAGCATAATTCAATTTGGACAGGACCAATGTTTCACACCGACGAATTCTTTTTACTGCTTCGTGTTACTTTTAAATACACACAATCTTTATTTAGAAAGTCGTAGCCATAGCTTTGATTTTTTTATTACAAACTTAACAAACACTATAACAAAGTTCACGTTAAGAGAAGAAGAGATAAACAATCCTTATTGTATACTAGTGGCCCGCCCTCGCTTCGCTTCGGTGTAGAGCTGTAGTGTAAACTATTGTTTTTGTTATCAGGCTTGTGCTATAAACAATGACTTTATTTATATAATTACACGTGTTATTGTGAGTCAACCATAAAAGATAGACATATGCTGTTGCGGGATATTTTTTAGACAATTTTATGTAGAATATTTCCGTCATACATGATTTCTATGTAACTTTAACCATTAAAGCTGCACACGCGACGGAAGCTTAAAAACTGGAGTAACTTCTCCCGTTTTCCCAACATTTCCCTTCACTACTCTGCTGCTATTGATTGTAGCGTGATGAAAAGTATACTATAACCTGCCCAGAAGTATGAACAATAATTGTACCAAATTTCGTTAACATCCGTCGAGTAGTTTTTGTTTCTATAAGGAACATACACACAGACAGACAGACAGACAGACAGACAAAAATTTTACTGATTGCATTTTTGGCATCAGTATCGACCACTAATCACCCCCTGATAGTTATTTTGAAAATATATTTCATGTACAGAATTGATCTCTCTACAGATTTATTATAAGTATAGAAGATAATTTGAGTAAATTTATCAATTGAGTAGCCGAACATCTCTTAGAGAAAAATTTAAAGAAATTGGCATTTTGACTGTTGCTTCTCAATTGATTTACAATTGCATACTCCTTGTTAAAAATAATATCAATTTGTATATCAAACACAGTAACGTGCACAATTTTAACACAAGGAATAGAAACAAGCTTGCATTGCCACCCTACAGGTTACAGAAGGTTTACCGATCTTTTATGGGTCAAGGTATACATTTTTACAATAAAATTCCTGATGCTGTTCTTGAGTTACCCATAAATGAGTTCAAATGTCACATTAAAAGTTGTTTACTTAAG